GCAGTGGCTGCTGTTGCAGATGATCTGGGTTCAGTTTCAAGAATTCTGACATCCTTTTCTAACCACAACAGGGGTGCACTCACATACATGCAGGCAATACACTCATACACATAAAAAAATAAAAAAAGATTAAAAGTATAGTTCTTAGAATGAAGTTTTTTTTATTTATTTTTATTTTATTTGTATGAGTGTTTTGCCTGCACATATCTTAAGTCCACCCATGCAGGCAGTTCCCGCAGAGAACAGAAGAGGGTGTTGGAGCCCCTGGAACTGGAGTTACAGGCAGTTCTCAGTTGCCATGTGGATGCTGGGAACCACCCTGGGTCCTCTACAAGAACAGCTAGTGCTCTTGTCTGCGGAGCCATCTCATTAGTCCCAAGCTGTTAGAAATTTAAAAAACAAAAACACAAAACTGTAAATGAACTCTTGTAGGCCTCTTGAGAAACAGTTCACTTATTCTTAAGTGAGAAAATTTAAGTACAGAGCACATTTGTAATTCATAGCCATGCAACATTTATTGCATTACAGTTTCTGCAGACCAGGAATTTGGGTATGTTAGCCCATTTCCTCAGGTTCAGGGTCTCTAGCAATACTATGACTGATGGCTCCTCTGATGATCTCACTAAAGGACAGTCTCATTCCAAGAGTTCTGTCAAGATTTTGACAGGACTGTTCCATATGAGTTATTTAGTGTTGAGGGCCTCAGTTCCTTGTTTGGTGAATGAAGGCCGCCCTCAATTCTTTGCCATTTAGGCAGCAACTATTTTCTTTCAGAGTGTAAAATCATGTAAACTAGAGTTTAAGGCAGAAGTCACATTTTAAATCTTGAATGTGATAACTGATTTTATCATATTGTATTCCTTGGGAACTAGTGACTAAAGATATTCAGACTTTCCTATAGGGAAGGGAATTAATTATACAAGGATCAGTGTAGACCATTGATTTGAGAGTCGGAGAATATTACCAATTCTTTCCCACTATTATTTATTAAACTCTGGTGGCTTAACTTCGGTAATTTTCTTTCTTGGATTTGTTTGATAGCATATTGTTAGTATTGTTTTGAGAATTAAATGAGATCAGAGATATGTGAAACAGTTCTCAAAAGATAGCTCTTTTGAGAAAATATAAATCAAATGGCTATTGATCCTGGATCTGTTTTTTTTTTTTTTCTTTTTTTAGACTTATTTTAATTTTTAACTATGTGTGTATATGTGTGTCTGTGTGTCGGGTATATGAACACAAGTGCAGGTGTTTGTGGAGGCCAGAGGTCTTGGATCCCCTGGCACTGAAATTTCAGGTTTTTGAGCCCCCTCATGTGTGGGTACTGGGAACCAAATTCTAGTCCTCTGCAAGAACAGTATGCACTCTTTTTTGTTCGTTTTGTTTTTGGTGGAGTTTTTTTTTTTAATATTTTTATTTGATGTGTACGCATGTATTGCCTGCATGTAGGTAAGTGCACCTGTGTCATGCAGTGCCCGCAGAGGTGTACTTGTCTCTGCCTGTCAGGTGCTACAATTAAAGGTGTTTGCCACCATGCCCAGCATCAGTATGCACTCCTAACTACTGAGCGAGCTATCTGTCCAGATCTGATTTTTTTTAATTATTTATTTTTATTTTATGTGTATTAGTGTTATGCCTACATGTATGTAAGTGCACCTGTATTGTGCAATGCCCATGGAAGCCGGAAGAGGGCGTCAGATCCCCTAGAATTGTAGTTATGGATGCTTGTTAGCCACCATGTGGGTGCTGAGATTCAAACCCAGGTCTTCTGCAAGAGCAGCCAGTGCTCTTAACCAGTTAGCCATCTCTCCAGCGCCCCCCATCTGATATTTTTAACTTATTCAATGTTTAAAAAAACTTTTTTTTGTCTTTTTGAGACAAGGTCTCTCTGTACGCCCCTAAGCTGTCCTAGAACTTGCTATGTAGACCAGGCTAGCCTTTATCTCAACAGAGATCCCTCTGTCTCTGCCTCCTGAGTTGCTGGGATTAAAGGCATGTACTACCACACCCTGCTCAAAGTTCCAAAATTTTAACATCCTGAGAATATGATTTGACCTGAGAGAATTCTGAGTATAAGAACTTTAAAAATACTAATGTTCTTTTTCTATATTTATTATTTTTATTTTATGTGTATGAGTGTATTACCTGCTTGTGTGTAAATACACCCATGTCATGCAGAGCTTGGGGAGGTCAGAAGAAGGCATTGGATACCCATGTGGGTGTTGGAAATAGAATTCAGTTCCTCTTCAAGAACAGTCAGTGTTCTTAACCACTGAGCCATCTCTCCAGCCCCTGAAAATACTAATGTTCTTAAATTATTTTTGGTTTTGATGCTTTGTGTGGTATCAGATGCCCCCAGATTCATATAAGTACTTTTTGAATTTCCTAAATGAAGCTTCATAGTTTCATACAATTCATTGAATTTGAAAAGGATATGTGCACAGTTTGTGTCAAGAAAATTCTCTTCAAGCTTACTTTTGCGGTTATGATTTATGAATGTAAAATGATCTTCATAGAGATTTGTTCTTTTTGTTGTTGTACTAGGCTTATTTATTTATTTTTATGTTATGGGTATGAGTGTTATGCCTGCATGTATGTAAGTAAACCTGTGTCATACAGTGCCAACAGAGGGCAGAAGAGGACATTGGATTCTCTGGAAGTGGAGTTACTGACAGTTGTTAGCCACCATGTAGGTGCTGGGATTCAAACCTGGGTCCTCTGCAAGAGCAGACAGTGCCCCCCCCCCCGTTGTACTAGTTTAATGATGAAAACTGGTCATTTATAATGGTATTATTAGCATCTTAAAAATCACTTGCTGCTGGGTGGGTGTGGTGGTGCATACCTTTAATCCCAGCACTTGGGAGGCAGAGGCAGGCCTATCTCTGTGAGTTCAAGGCCAGCCTGGTCTACATAGGAAAGAGGATAATCTAGATTTCTGGTCCTGTTGAATATAATTAGTTATTGTGTGTTAAATTATGATCAAAAGCTCCTTTTGGGTGATTGAGCTCTGGTTTAGAATGCTAATATGACATTTTAATTATTTTTTTTTTTTTTTGGTCTTTTTGAGACAGGGTTTCCATGTAGCCTGAGCTGTCCTGGAACTCACTATGCTGGGATTAAAGGCGTGTGCCACCATACCCTTCGACATTTTAATTTTTTACATTCACAAAATACATACATTTTTTGTAGTTTTAAAAATTAATTTTTTAGGAGAACATTTAGACTAATGAAATTCATGGCATTTTATATGTAATGTGCCATCATACTTTGTTCTAATTGTTCTCCTCCCTGCCCCATCCCATTCCTTCTGACTTGTTTTTTTTCTCCTTCTTCTCCTTCCAGATGGATGATCCTCCTTTCCCCTCCCTCCCTCCCTCCCTCCCTCCCCTCCTCTCAAGACTGGGTCTCCCCCTATAGTCCCAGTTGGCCTGGAACTTGCTGTGTAGACCAGGGTGGCCTTGATCCACCTGCCTCTGTGCCTGACTCCTTGTGCTGGCACTAAAGGTGTGTGCCACCACACCCAGCATCCTTCTGCTTTCTTAGCACGTGGATTACTACCTTTTTCTCTTTCTTCCTTAAAGACCTCTTTCTTCTCTTGATCCCTTTCTGGTTTCGTTACGTAGACACAAACACATATTTAAGTACACACTGTTGCTGTATTTGTATATTCTAGGTTATCTATATAGGCAATGTGGATTACTGCCTTTTTCTTCCTTAAAGACCTCTTTCTTCTCATGATCCCTTTCTGGTTTTGTTACCTAGACACAAACACATATTTAAATACACACAGTTGCTGTATTTGTATATTCTAGGTTATCTACATAGGCAAATACTGATACAATTTGTAAAAAAAAATTATACAAGAAAAAGAACCTGAGTTCAGTTCCTTCAAAGAAGTATACAGAGAACCCAAACTATTAGCTTTAATTTAATTTGTACTATAATTCTGTACGCAGAAATACATATTTAAAAGTTCTCTTTTGGTACACATAAATTTATTTTTATTATAAAATAAGATTTTATTATAAGTTATGAGAAGGAACAATGGCATTTGTCATGTTAATTGTTGAAATTCTCCCTACTCTTTTTCAGTAGGAAGTACTCTTACTCATCCCAGGACTATATTCTTTTACTTTTAAATCTTTTCTACAACAATTTACCTCTTCCAACTCCTTCACATTGTAAAGTGTTTTTTAATTAATTGTTTAATAGTTGAGAGAGAAGAGTGAAACAACAAAATACTTTCTGTTGGATTTAAATCTTACTATGTTTCACTCAATTTCATTGTCTGTAGGAATTCTCTAACAGTCTTGGGCTTGAAAATTTAAAATTAGATAGAATTTTCAAACAAAATTTGATTATTACTGATATGATCTGATAATTTATGTTTTATTTAGTATTAAGTAGTTAACTTCATATAGTGATTAATCTCTGCAAGCTTAGTTTCTTTATACTTTGGAGGATCACAGGTTGTTTACCACCTTAAGTCTCAAACTATTTCTTACTCTCACATGCAGATTGTATTTGTGCTTAATGGAAATGAGTTTGTGAAAGCTGTCTTAGGTCAAATATGGCTTTTCCCAGATGAATTGCTTTATCTTACTTGGTTTTTGGGTTACCTGTTATACCCAAATGAGACAGTTTTAGGTACCAAATATAAATTCACAAAAGTTAAAATATGCATACTAGCTGGCATTATTTTGGAAGCAATGTTGAGTGTTTTCAAAAGTTGCAATGCAACTGCTAATTTTAAAAGGCTTTATTAAATGTTCAACTCCTGTGCTCTTCTGTTTGCAATATTCTTAAAGAGTTTAAGTGCCAGATATTCATTTATTAACTTGTTCTATAGTTTTTTTGTTGTGGTTATAGATTTTATAAATGGTGCCTTTATGATTTCTTTTGTTAACAGAGTTCTGCTTGGTCAGAGTCGTGATGGCATTGTGTTCAGCACTGATGACTATTTTCACCATCAAGATGGGTACAGGTATAATGTTAATCAACTTGGTGATGCCCATGACTGGAACCAGAACAGAGGTTTGTTTTGGGCCAAGCCTCCTGGGTTAGAATATTTGACTTTGACAAGTCAGATCTAGGCTTTATTTTTGACTTAGGCTTTTACCAGCTGAATGACTTTGACAAGCTATTTAAATAACTTGGAGTTCCAATTTTTCTTTTATAAGAAATGATAATCTATTTGCCCTGTGTAATCAAGGTTTTATAAAAGTCAGTGAATTTAGATAAAACATGTTATAAACTTTATGTAGTACACCATTATAAGTTGTTGAAACAGAAATGTAAGATATTTTAATAGCCTTTATTTTATACTTTATGAATAAATACAGAGATACTCTGTATTCCAAAAATCATTTTTATGGAGAATAATGCTAATGTCTTAATAAAATGCCTGTGAGTATTAAAAGTTTTTCTTATTGATACTGTGCTTGTTTTTAGAGGATGTGGGTCAGTTTCTTTCCATTTTGATCAGCAGTCTCATCCTGGTAGCCCATTTGAATCACATGTGGATTTCTTCAAAAATATTTTGTTTGTTTATTTATTTATTTATTTATTTATTTATTTATTTATTTGTATGAGTGTGTTGCTTAACATATATGTAAGTGCATCTGTATTGTGCAGTGGCCACAGAGGTCAGAAGAAGGCATCAAATCCCCTGGAACTGGAATACAGAGGGTTGTTAGCTACCATGTGGGTACTAGGAACCAAATCAGGTCCTCTGCAAGAGCAGCCAGTGCTCTTAACTATTGAGTCATCTCATCTTCAGCCCCTCTTTAAAAAAAAAAAAATTTTTTTTTATTTTTAAAAAGGCTTTTATTTTGGGGGCTCAGCCCTAGAGATTCTGGTTCAGATCTGAAATGAGGCCCAAACTTTGATTTTTAAAATATTTTATGTGGCTGGGTGCACCTTTAATCCCGGCACTCGGGAGTCAGAGGCAGGTGGATCTCTGAGAGTTCAAGGCCAGCCTGGTCTACTTAGCAAGTTCCAGGACAGCTGGGGCTGCAGGGAGACCCTTTCCCAAAAAATTTTATGTGTAGGAGTGTATTGCCTGCCTGTACATAATGTATCCATGTCATTCAGTGTCCGAGGAGATCAGAAGGCATTGGGTCCCCTGGAACTGGAGTTACAGATGGTTGTTAGCCACCATGTGGGTGCTGGAAATCAAACTTGGGTCCTCTGCAAGAGCCGCCAGTGCTCTTAACTGCTGAACCATCTCTCCAGTCCCCCAAGCTTTGTTTTTAAATTCATTTTTTATTATTCTCATAGTGATTCTACTGAGCAATTATAATTAAAAATGATTGACCTAGAGCTATGAAAGAAAGCAGATCTACTATAAGTTACTTTTTTTTTTTTTTTTTTTTTTTTTTGATATAGACAGGGTCTCCCTGTAGCCCCAGCTGGGCTGGAACTCACTATATAGACCAGGCTGTTTTATAAGTTACTTTTAAAAGATAAATTTGGTGCCAGGCATGGTGGTTGCACGCTTTTAAATATATTTTATTTATTATTTTTATTTTATGTGTATGAGGGTATTGCCTGCATGTATGTGAGTGCACCCATGTATTGCAGTGCCGTGGAGGTCAGAAGAGGGCATTGGATTCCCCTGGAATTTGAGTTAATGACTGTTCATCGCCTCCATGTGGGTGCTGGGAATCAAACCTGGGTCCTCTGCAAGAGCAGTCGATGCTCTTAACCACTGAGCCATCTCTCCAGCCCAGTTGTATGTTTTTAAGACCTGCTGTGGCTACAGGGAGACCCTGGCTCAAAACGGCCCCTAAAAATAAAAGGTAAATTTGGGCTGACAAAATGACTCAGCAGATAAAGGCATTGGATCCCTGAGATCTACAAGAGAGAAGATGAGAACTGACTCCCTTAAGTTGTCCTCTGACTGGCACACACATGGTGGCACATGTATGCTCATATGCATACACAATCAGGAAATAAAAAATGTAATAAAAAGGTAAATGCAATGATAATTCAATGACTTTTACTATGAAAAAAATCAAAGCTAGGCTGGGTGTGGTGATGCACACCTTTAATCCCAGCACTTGGCAGGCAGAGGCAGGTGGATCTTTGTGAGTGCAAGGCCAGCCTGGTCTACATAGTGAGTTCAAGGACAGCTGGGGCTACAAGGAGACTCTGTCTCAAAAAAGACAAAAAAAAAAGTTAAATTCAGGGACTATGAACTATGCTTAGTGGTAAACGCTAGCCTAACCAGCTTGAGACCCAAGATTTTATACCCTGAACCAAATTTAAAACAAAAAAAGAATATAATAGAAATGAATAAAACTTTACTTCATTCTAATAGTTGAATTAATCCTCAAATCTTAAGTTCAGATTTTGTGAGTTTCTTATTTTGTATACTGGAAGACTTTCAAGTTTAAATCAATAGGCATGGTAACTCTGATGTAATCTCTAATTCTAGCTGGTTTTGGCTTAAGTATAACACCAAGATTCCTTTCTCACCACGACACAAGAAAAAAATCCCTTTGAAATGGATGGGCGGAGTAGGGGGAGAAAAAAATCAAAGCTAGATTGGAAAAAATGCTGGGTTTGGCCGTATAACCTAGGTTGGTAGTTCTAGCACTTGGAATACAAAGCAGGAGGATCTTTATTTTGAGACCATGTTGGACTTCTTAGCAAGTTCCAGGCTAGTCTAGGCTACATAATGAAAACCTACATCATACAGACCACAACAAAATCAGAGAACATAATGAATCTCATACCAAATACTCAGAATTGCCACTTACCAAGGTTTTGACAGGTGAATTTTATCCCCTTTTTTGTTTTTAGCTCCTCCCTCTCTTTTAATTTGCTGGTGAGTGTAAAGGTGAATTATAGTTGGGTGTGGTAGCATATTACTGTGATCCCCCTTACTCAGGATGCTGAAACAAGAGGGCATGGCAAGATAACCATATTACCCCTGCCTTGGAAAACAAAGTCGTAAACATACATTATATATTTCAAATTAACCTTATTGAACAGGCCTGCGAATTTTCCCTATTTCAGATGTTTTTTACGGTTGTTTTGTTTAGATCAGGATCCAAACAAGGTCCTCAGAATACATAAATACATTTATGTTTCTTTTTTTTTTTTGTCTTTTTGAGACAGGGTATCCCTGTAGCCACAGCTGGTCTGCAACTGGTTATAGAAACCAGGCTGGCCTTGATCTCACAGAGATCTGTCCCCCCTGCCTCCTAAGTGCAGGGACTAAAGGTGTGTACCACCATGGCTGACTTTGTTTCTTTTAATTATGTTAACCATTAACTGTTTCCTCTCTTAAACTGTCATATCATTATTTCAGAACCTAGGTCCTTTGTCCTATAGAATGTTACATATTCCATTGTCTTAGTAGTCATTTAGCCTCTTTTTTTGAAGCTTGATTACAGTTTACTTTTTAAAATTATTTTTGTCTGTGTTTGAGTATTTTACCTGCATCTTTGCAATGACTACAGAGGGCATTGAATCCTCTAGAGCTGGAGTTACAGATAGTTAGCTGCAAGAGCAAGAGCAGCCAGTGCTCTTAACCACTGAGCCATCTGTCCTCCCTCCCTCCCTCCCTCCTTCCCTCCTTTTCTTTTAACAAGCAAACATTTGATTGAGTGTTAGTGGGATAGAGTTGATCTGTCGCAATGAAGAGAGAGCCCGTTTCCTTCATAACCAAGTTCCCTGTCTACCTTATATATGTGATGGCTTTATCCAGCAGTAAATTATTTCTTCAGTCACATAAATGTTGCAAAATGATGGTTTTCTAGTTCTATCATTCTTTTTATGTTTAGTAGCTAGATGTCTTCAGTAATGAAAAACTTCTGCTAATTAAAGCTACCAGCCAGGGTTGTCCTAAAGTACACAGCGCTTACAGAGAAAACAGTTAAATGTCTTTCTTGTCAATTTTTATAATAAATAATTTCAGTGAAGATGCATATTTAAATTTTTAAGTGTATTTTTATTATGTGTATATGTATGCCTGAGTGTGAGTTTATGCATGTAAGTTCAGTGCCTGTGGAAGCTAGAAGAAAGCATCAGAGCTCCTGAACTGGAGTTAGAGGTGGGTGTGAGCTGCCCAGTGTGGATGCTGGGAACCAAACTTCAGCCCTTTGCAAAAGCCAGTAGTAGCACTCTTAACCTGCTGAGCCGTCTCTTTAGCCTGTAAGAAGATATTTTTTAGTAAAAAAAAAAAAATGCCTGTTGCAGTTTATGATTTTACAGGAATGTTTCAGTGGAAGTTTAACAGATAATTTTTTTAGCATTCTGTATTAAGTACTTGTCCTGTTGCTGCAACAAAATAACTGACAAAATAAGGAAGGAAAGGTTTACTTTGGCTTACAGTTCATAGTATACAGACAGGGCAGGGAAATTACAGTGGTAGGAGCAGGTGGTCATACTGCTTCCAGTTAGAAAGCAGAGAGCAATGAACACTATCGTTCAACTTCCTTTTTCTTTGAGTCCTGGACCCTAGCCCATGGAATGGTACCACACACTTTTAGGGTGGATCTCTCACCACAATTAACCTAATACAGAAAATCCCTCACAGACTTGTTCAGATATTTGTTCCCACTCTAAATTCTATCAAGTTTATAATCAAGATTTACCATCACAATCTCTAAACCCAAATCTGAAATGCTTCAGGATGGGAAATGTCAAGTGTCATATTGGAGCATTTTTGTTTTCAATTATTCATATTAGGTCTAGGCAAATGTTCTAAAATCCGAAGAACTGAAATCTTGTCCCAAGGAGTTTAGATAAATACTCATCTATACTCTTGGGTTTCTGAAATGCTAGGGTTTCTCCAAATACATTAAAAGGTAGTACAAAAAGCTGTTTAATTTTTTTAGATTTGTTTTTATTTTATGTATAGAAGTGCTTGCTGCATGTATGTAAGTACACTGGTGGTGTGCAAACCCTGTGGAGGCCAGAAGAGGACATCAGATGCCCTGGAACTGGAATTATGGATAGGTGTTAGCCACCATATGGGTGCTGAGAACCAAACCCAGGTCCTCTGCAAGAGCAGCCAGTGCCCTTAACTGCTGAGCCATCTCATCAGCCCACCTTTTTATTTTTTAATGCCATAAGACATTGTTGCTCAAATCAAGTAATGATATTGCAACTGTTCCAAAAATGTTGAGTTACTGACCTCTAGTTAAGGAGAAGATTAGGTGATAAATGGAATGAAAAAGGTTATTGGGCAGAACATACATACTTCTGGTGGACTGGGAAATTTACTTGTTTATTCTCCTTGCAGAAGTAGATTGTTTCATTAAAATTCTTATGTCATGTGAAATTAAGCTGATTATACTTAACAGTAATGGAAGTATGGAAAGTATCTGGATAAACTGCTAGTTTTATCAGTATAATAAGAACTTCAAGGTATTTTTACATTTTCCAAGTTAATGATACCTAGCAATCAAGACATTCTGAAAATTATGAGTGTAGCACCTTATTTGGGGCAAAATTTTTCTCCTCAACAAATACTGAATAGCTTTAAATGCTAGGTACTGTTTTGAGAAAATTTGTATCATATTTTTTACTGGAAGAATCTAAATTTTCAGATCTGAATGTTAGCTCAGTGTTAGAAAACTGCTTGGGTAGAATGTATGAGTCCCTGTATTCATTACTGTTCTGGTTTGTTCTTCATTGCTGTGACAAAACACTGACCACTACCAACTTGGGGAGGAAAGGGTTTATTTGGCTTACAACTCCCAGGTTGCAGTTCTTCAGGGAGCCCAAGGTAGGAACTCAGGGCAGGAACCTGGAGACAGGAGCTGGAACACAGGCCATGGAGGAACACTGCTTACTGGCTTGCTCTCCTGGCCCCTGCTCATACTGCTTTCTTCT